TGTATTCCCCACCCACTCAACAAGCAGCTGTACTGCTCCTGTATTTGTCATTCCCAGCTGGGAAAAGGCTGGATAGACCATTTTGCTCCCTGTAAGGCACCCTATGCAAACATGTTTTTAAAGGAGGAATGTGGGAAGCTCTTGTCTCAAGGTCTTTTATACACATTCCTGAAGAACCATTCCTAATGGGTGCCTCCATAGCGATTCCTGCTTTGTTTCTCCCCCTTCCACGATCTCTGTCATCTAAAAAGAGGGAATCTGCCCCATCAGGCTGTGGATGTTCTCCGCACACCAACCACTCGCACCTTGCTGCGTACCCTTAAACTGCACAGGAAAATCACTGGGGTTTAGGGCTTACCAGAGAGTCTGCAAAGTGGCATCCTCATGATCCTACCATTAGAACACAGAACTCCACGTTCCTAGTCTTAGTTCCTGAACAATCTTCTCCTGTAAAGAGGATACAACTTCCTTGTGGGCAGGGGAACAAAAAGATGACAGCAAGATTTAAGCAATACTTGACCATTCCAGAATAAAAGGTAAGGCAGTAGTGCAAAGAACTGAAGACACACATTGCTGTTATCACATAAAATTAAAAGCTTTTTAGTCTTTAAAATAGCATTTACACATAAGCAGCTATATATTAACTATATAGACACTTGGGTTTTTAATACAATATCTACAAAAAAAGAATTCAATTATGCAATAGACATTTAACAGGAACAGTGCAGACCATGCTAGTAAGAGGTCACTCTTTGAGTAGAACCAATTCTAGAATAGGCGATAGTCTGGGTTTTCATTATTTAAAATCATGTAACATTTTTCCTCTACTGTACATAAAATTCTTTACAGGTATTTCTAATCACTGATTAGAATTAATAATTTTAAGTCAATCTCATTACAATCCAGTTAAAAGCAAAACAAAAACAATTACATCAACTCATAAGCTGTCAGTTTCAAGATGGAACTGCCCGTTCAAATAGAACAAAAATAGTATCAAAAGTCAATGTCTGTGCATCATTGCTTGCCATCCAATATACCTTTGGATAAAGTGTCTGTAACCTGTAATCTTTGAGAAGTTATTACTCTAAAAGTTGAGTTTATTAATGGGAAGTCAAAGACAACAGCAGGGCTTTTTGCCAAAAATTTGTACTTCAGAAAGTCAATAAATGCCTTACCCCCACATTTGGGTAGGAGGTGTCATCCCAAAGTGTTTGTTTTACACGTTTATTTTCTACGATCTTCCAAACACACCGGTTAGTCCTTGTGCAAAGCTGCGGGCAGGTGTGTGCGAGCACGGAGCCCAGCTGCAGAGCGGATGCGCAAAGGCCGATCTGCAGAATTACAGAAACGTCCGTCCACTACTCAGACGTCCTGCACGAGGTTATTCGAACGCCCTGCAGAGCAACCCCTGCTTCTCTTTGTAATTCTAGGGGTGGATCTCACATTCCACAGCCCAGGCAGCACCAGTTACTTGACATAAAAATTATAGCTGTATTTCAGGCTTAAATGAGGACTTATAGGAAGTCTTACAAACTGCAGCCTTATTCCTTTCCAGCTGGCAAGGTTATTTTCTACCTTGAGTAACTTCATTGACTTCAGTGGCACTTGTGTCTGCAGCAGCAGGGACTTGCAGTTAAGGAGCCCATGTTATAGAGAGAAACACACATGCAAGAGGCAAGGACGGGGTTTGGGAAATCTGTGCTCATCCACTGGTGAAAGGGAAGAGGGAGCAGTGACCTGGCTTTCCATTCCCTCCAACCACCCCTCCTCCGGAGCTCATCTGTGGCCACATGGGAGCATGAAAAAACAGCCTTTTTGTTCAAACAAAAACCAGCCTTTTTGTTCACACAAAAATCAGCCTTTTTGTCCATGCACGATGGCCCTGATGTATCACAGCATTCACACAAGGAGCACGTACAATATTTTGCTCTTCATCGCAGCCCATGACATGCTGTGCAATATTAGCCAACCCTTAGCACGCCTGTCAATACATTCAGAGCAATTAATACTTTGCCTGAAATAGATGCCTGATCTTGGCTGGAGTTATTTCAGGCCAGACAGGGGTTTCTAGCCCACAAGTGCTGAATTTAGCAGCTGCATTTCCTCTGCAAACGCACCCTTTCCCACACCTACGTTACGGACTGTCAGCCTCACTTCGGAGTTACCCACGGAGAAGCACAAAATACAGTCATTTCCATGGAGCAGCAAACACCAAGGAGGCACAGAACAGCTTCTGCCAACAGCACAACACACGCACACAAGCAAGTATGTAATGTATGGTGTATACTGCAATGCATATAGCTACTCAGCCCCCAGACTGGGTCCTTTTGCAAACACCCTATTAAAATGACAGTCTTTTCTTTCTACCCCGTAAGTTCTGCCTTAAGACAAAGTAGAATAGAAAAAAACAGGATAAGAGATCAGAAAAGTTAGAGCTGATTTAAAAGTACATCCACTAGTGATTGTCAGGAAAGTCACAGGCTCCGTAACTGTGTCTTTGGCAACACAGGAGACAGAATTTTGCCCTGATTTATTTCATTTTTAAATGTCAATCTTTCCAATGGTTTATTGGATTGGGCTGGTGTCTTTGCTGCGTTGCTGGAGGAAGTAGGAAAGAAAAAAAGAGAGAATATGGTTGCACAGTCGAGCTTTAGAAAGGGTCAAACTTTTGAATAAAATCATCAGCAAATTTGCAATCTATGCTAGCCCAACAGACAGATTATAAGGAAAGCACCACAGTCTATAATGCGATACAGCTTTGGGGGGATTTTTGATGGGCAATAAACCCCAAAATACCCAGCTGGTTTACAGGTTCAATAATTTGGGTGCCTCATGCGAGTGGCAACATTTCCCAAATGCCTAGATTCCTCTAAAAAATAACTCTTAGACCTCCAAGTTACTCTGAGTTTTGTAAAAGGGATCTGTGCAGACAGATTTGTAAAAGAATAGAAAAAAATAGCAAGACATACCAGAATGAACAACATACAAAATGGACAGTGTGAAAAGTACTTTTTCAGGGTGCCAAAGGAACATGAAACTACACGTATCCAGTGAGAACAATGCACTTTTCTGACATTCATATTGGATATTCAAGCTATCCATACAGCACAGAACATAACAGAAAGGAGCTTCTTTTGGGGAAGGAAATGCTTGTATACACTAAAGACTGATTTTAAAACACCTGTCCTAAAACCTGTCAAATAGGTATCTCACAAAGGAGGTTTCACTGAGGCACGGCCCCACTGCCAAACGCCACTGCGTGGCTGCACTTTCACACATTACTTCCTATTAGATGAACCTCCACACCCCAGTGTGTGCTTTTAACACCCCCTGACTCAGATGCTTTCGAAAAAGCTTCTTAAGCTTCAGGAAAGCTTCCTGAACACGTTTCATCAAGTGCTCATAGCCTCAGAGCCAAAACTGCAGCAGGGAAATCCTGGGGAGATGCAACACAGCAGTTTAAGCCAAAATTCCCCAGCAGGAGCAGGATCTTAGGTCTTGCTCTGTCAGGTATAAAGATTCAATCCCTGTACTCTGTTCCCAAAACACCCTCCTGCCTCTCTGCTAACAGGTAGCTCCCACCTATGTCCAATGCGTGTCCCCTTGGGTATCAAGGCAATTGGGATTAGCCACCTCCAGGCTTCTATTTCAGTGCAGAGATGAAGCTGGGAAAAAAGGGAATTAGAACATTCAGAAAGGAAGAAGAGGTGACCAAAACTCATCCCCACGTCCCAGCGGGAGGAAGGTTTCACCTCCCTCCCTGCCAGGCTGGGACAAGTGCTCCCTTTACAAGGGAAGAGCTGCAGCTACACCAACAGAACGAGGTAGCAGCAATTGTCCTATTTATGTGGAAACAGCTTTTCAAACGAGTATGCAAGAAAAATATGGACACATCTGTTAGCAGGAATATGACTGAAATGCCCCGGAACAGACTGCAGCGATAACGTCACCACTGTGATACGAAGTGAAATAACATTGCAAGGTCTGTACACTGAACACATACAGTAGCAAGACTACCACTCCCTTGATAGAATAATATCCTAAAAATAAAATAAAATATAATTGATTTAGACTCCCTTGTCAGCAGATGAAGGCAGCCAGAGCTTTGTCTGGGCACTGGTTTGAGGCTGATCCTTTCCAAGCACACGTTGCACGTGCACTTGCAGATGCTGCATCTGCTCTCTAGAGCATCGACCAACCAGAAACAGCGTTATGGGGAAGATGCAAAGATCCTCCCCAACAGCCACTTCTTTGTTGTAGGAGAAAAAGGGGCTGTGGAGGGGGGAATAAAGGTGCTATTATGCATACGGGAAATTTGGAAGTTACATAAAATATTAGTCCTTGCATCAGCCAAAACCAAAACACATTCATTGCACTGAAGGTAGATGCCACAATTTCCAAAGACCATAACGTTGTGAGCATACACTGCCAATCACAGCCTGAAACGAGAATGGATGAGAGAAAAACAAAAGAGAACAGAAAAAGATGGCGATATCTCAATTTGCTGATACGTAACAATCCCGGGAGATATTTTTTTCCTCGTCTTTTGTTTTTATGTGATTTTTTTGTTCTTTTCTTGTTTTCTGCAACACACAATGGCAAACCAGGAAGGCGTGACATGCAAGACAGCCGAGTTCCATCTCCGTAAGCGCTGGCCGGCCCCGAATCCCGCC